TGTCAGCACCACACTCTCCCAAGTGAGCTAACGGGCCATCCCTATATAGGGATCTGAACCCATGGCCTTGGTGTTGTCAGCACCACACTCTCTCAAGTGAGCCACAGGCCGGCCCTTTGTCTTCAATTTCTGTCTCCAGAGATTTCAGTCATTCATTCTTCAAAATTCAGCAGAGATATTGCCCTGCCTTTCATGAAGCCTTCCCAGATCTATCCTATAAAATATTAATTGCTCCATTCTTTGAGGTTCTAGACAATTTTGTTTATACTTTTTTTTTTTTTGGTGGCTGGCAGGTATGGGATTGAACCCTTTACCTTGGTGTTATGACACTGTACTCAAACCACCTGAGCTATCTTATCTGGCCAGCCCTGTACTTTCTTGTATCAGGCTGTTTATGAGAATTATTTGGTTATATTATTTGGCTATCTAGATCGCACCTTCTTTGGGACAAAAACCAGGTTATATTTTTGTCTATAATTCCCCGATTATCCTAGTTATCTAGGATAACTAAGGAAATAACTAGTTAACTGCCTGTAACAGTGAATGTTTGAAAAATGTTTGTTAGATGAGTACATGTTTTGGAACTTCAAACATTTTCCATTTACTGACCTAAACTTTTAGAAACCCAATCTGGAGCTAAAACAAAAGTTAGGACAATCCTATTATAATTAACTTTTACTAATATAAATAAAAGGGAACATTAATGTTGACAACATAAAACAGTACAAAATAACATCTAGTTTTTCCTTGCTACAATAAGCAAAACATTAAAAAGGAAAAGAATGGGGCCGGCCCTCCATTTCTGATTTATAGACAAGCTTTGCTCAGAACATTATTCCTTTATCACCAATCTTAAGAGGGAAGTCAGCCAACTCAAACTTCTATAAAGCCCAGAAGTAACACTTGCTATGTAGAAAAATCCACATACAACTTGCATCCCCACTCTGCCCCGTCACCTCTAAGTCCCTGAATGATGGTATCAGGACTTGTGCAGGGATGGAGAGGGGAACGGGTTATTCTCTAAGGCACTACACATTCGTAGCTGATGAGGAGGAGAGCAAAAATCAGCTTCCTGGTTATTTATCTATGCACAACTGACGGTGTGGGCCTCCCTCTAAAGGAACGGTACTCATTGCATCACCTCTAGAGATCTACAAATTAAAGCCAGATCGATGAAATGCTTCCAGGGATGCTGCAAAACACTCTACAATGCACAGCCCCCCACAACAAAGAATCAGCTTGGCCAAAATGTTAATCTTAATGCCAAGATTAAGCATTAACCCTGGTCTACATTACCAGGTAGCTGGATTATTCTACCAGTTTGTATGTCTCTCTAACTCATGTCCCTTCCCTCCTCCACAATAACACCAGATTAATATTCCCAAAATGGTGCTTTCATTACTTAATTCTTCTGCTCAAAATCTCTTCTGCTCACATAATGTCTATTCATTACCAATGCATTAAATTTAAACTTCTCAGCCTGGATGTTAATTTCCCTACAACCCGCTTCTGCCTGGCTAGTAAGCCTTCTCTCTCCTTCCCGTCAATCCCATTGTGGCCAACGCTGTAATATTCTACTGTCCTCTTTGTTCTCTTCTCCCTAAACCCCATTCTCAACTCTGGTCTTTGGCTCCTGCCATTCCATGCCAAGAATATTCTCTCTTCTCTGTCAATTCAAACTCTTCCCATCTTCTAAGGCTTTAAATTGTACTCCTTTGTATTAGTCCGTTTAGGTTGCTTATAACAAAATGCACAAAACTGGGTGATTTATAAAGAAAATGAAATTTATTGCTTACAGTTTCTGAGGCTGGGAAGTCCAAAGTCCACCTTGTGGTGGCGACAGTGACCCAGGGGTCTCACATTACAAGACGGTGGAAGCAGAGAGACAGAGAGAGACAGACTCTCTTCTTTTAAAGCCCTCAGAACCACGCCCCTGACCACCATGTTTAATCCATTCACTACTGCACGGTCCTACAATCTCATCATGCCTTCAAGGCTCCACCTTTCAATGATCATAACAGGATTTCCCACCCTCTTAACAGTCCCAGTGGGGATCAAATTTCTAACACATAAAACTTGGGGACACAATTCAAGCTCCAGTGAGTTTGGGGGGACATAATTCAATCCACTACAACTGGCAGGATGCAGGTGCCACCCTAATAGCCCAGGGTCAGCTTACCCTTCCTCTGGATTCCTTCAGTGCTCCTTGTCTGCACTCTTCATTTGTCCCTGTTGCATTTGACCTCGTGTCCCCCTATCTTACCTGATCTTGAGGCTTTTCCTCCTCATGTTACCGCCTCCCTCTTGGTCAAATTATCCCCTTTCTTTGGCTTCTCTCATAACAAAGTCTCCTGGTTTTCCTCCTACCGCTCTGTTCTCTATCAGTTTCCTTTGCAGCCCCTCTGATAGCCCTTTAACGTTAGAGTGCTTCAGGGGTCTGTTCTAGGCCTATCTTCTTGCCCTATACATTCATCCTGGGCAAACCTATCCATTTTTGTGGCTTCACATATGAATTGTTTCAAAAATTTGTATTTCTAGCCAGATTGCTTCTTAGAACTCCAGACCCAAATGACTAACTGCCAATCGGACATCTCTATCTGGATGTCTCACAGGTACTTTGTTCAAAATGGAACCCTAATTCTGCATCCTTAGACTTTTTCCTATTGCAGTGTACTGGATTGAATTATGTCCCCCCAAAACTCCCTGAAGTTTGAATTGTGTCCCCCAGGTTTTATGTGTTAGAAACTTGGCCCCCACTGGGACTGTTAAGAGGGTGGGAAATCCTATTATGGTCATTGAAAGGTGGAGCCTTGAAGGTGATTAGATTGTAGGACCGTGCAGTAGTGAAAGGATTAAAAACGATGACCGGTAAGGGGATCTCAACCCTTGACTTGGTGTTGTCAGCACCACGCTCAGCCAGTGAGCAAACCGGCCATCCCTATATGGGATCTGAACCCGTGGCCTTGGTGTTATCAGCACCGCACTCTACCGAGTGAGCCACGGGCCGGCCTGTTTTGAGGGCTTTAAAAGAAGAGAGTCTGTCTCTCTCTCTCTGCTTCCACCGTCTTGCAATGTAAGACCCCTGGGTCACTGTCGCCACCACACGGTGGACTTTGGACTTCTCAGCCTCAGAAACTGTAAGCAATAAATTTCATTTTCTTTATAAATCATCCAGTTCAGTGTACTTTGTTATAAGCAACAAAAACAGACTAATACAATTGCCTTTGCCGAATGTCTATTAAATGCCAGGCACTAAAATTAAAAAAAAAAAAAGACAAAAAATAAAATTAAAATTAAAAAATAGGAAAAAAAGAAAAGAAAAGAAAAAAGAACAACAATGCCAGGCACGGTGCTGGCTATACTTCGCATATGTCATGCCACAGGGGCTGTGGTCTCATAGGACGAGCTCTTGCTGCCCAAGCGTTGGGGGTGGGGGAGGGCTTTCAAGAACCAGGCCCCTTCTCCATCCTCGACCCAGATGCCCAAGGCTCGGGACTGTGCTCCAGTCTCACCCTTCCCCGGGAGCACTGTGCCTCATTCACTCTTATCTTACGTAACTCAGAATCCCCACCCCCACCCAAGGTTTATATAAAGCGGCTCAGTAAACACACTGCCTTAGGCTTTGGGGAGAACCAAGATGGGCCACAAATGCGATCTATTGCTGTGCACCCCTTCCCGGGACCCCATCACGCTTGCTGTTGTCCTTGAGGCTGGATCCTGCCTTTGCATGCGCCTGCTCGCCTGAACACACACTCGTACACGTGTGCCCGGGTGTGCATACCTACACACGGGTGTATAAGTCAGGGGCTGGGGGGCCCAGACATGCATGTGAGCGCACAGACATGGCTTCGCTGTCCTTTTTTTTTTTTTTTTTTTTTAAAAAAAATCCTACAAAGCTTCTCCACTAAGGCTTTCCTTTTTCAGCAAATTCAGGAAATTTAACTCCTGAGTCACCCTGCTCTTGCCCCAGTCACGGGAGCAGACCCATTGTATTGGAGGAAGGTCCTCGTAGTGTTCACTCTAAGTTGGCCAGGCAGCAAAGTGTCGAAGCCCGTGTTCCTCCTGAATTCCCCATTTTCCGGTCATTGGAGACTTACACGAACGCCTGCAGCTGTCTGAGCAGAATTCTCCAGGCCGCTGGTTCAGCCCAGGCTCCAGACACCTGTGCTACTCAAAGCCAGGTATCCGGGCCACTCTCCCCAGCTCAGGCTGGGATACCTGGAAGTGAAACCAAAGTACCAACCGAACGTTCTCCATGCTGGGTGTCTGCCCCATGGACACTTTACAAGGAGTCTCTGACCCCTGGCCTTACTGTCCTGTCCTGTCCAACTCAATGAATCCTCCCAGGTCTGCAACTGGGGCAGCAGGCATTAGGGGTGGGCAGGGGATGATTCTGACTACACAGGAGAGCTCAGCAGCCAGGACAGTTGTGGATCCTGCACAGTCACTGAGCATCTGCTTTTGCTGAGACTCCCCCAGCACCCACTTCTTTATGGAACTAGCACAGGAGACACAAGACGGCGTTCCCTGCGCTTCTCCTGCCAAAGCCAGTTAAGGCTTCAGCCGCCTTTCTTGTGGTCCTTCACTTCCACCCATGGCAAAGGAGAGGAGAGGGAGAGATCCGCTAGGGCCTTCCCCTCAAACTCTTCCATTACTGGGGTGCCTGAGTGGGGCTGGCGCTAGAGTAAGGGGGGTAGGCATAGGCCACAAAGCCCAGTCTCTCCTCGGGGTCCCCAGTTTTCGTTCTCCCCCAGACCAGACACTGGCAGACAGCGGAACCACCTGCTCCCCCGTGGCCGGTGAGTGCCGAGGCTGTCACTGCTCAGCTCCGCTGTAGGGGAAGGTCGCACCTGCGGAGGCGCTGGGTCTGCGCAGCTGGGACGTCTCCTAATGGAAGGTCCCCAAGACAACTGCATTTGGAGGCCGTTTTCTCCATTTTAAACATCCCGTGTCCCCTTCACCAAAAAGCCCCTCTCTCTCCGGGATGCAACAAAGGGGCTTCTTCGGGGTCTCCTCTCCTACCCTCTATAAGGGTGGGGTCAAAACCAGCCCTTAGATGTGGCTTTGGGCCCTATGATTGAACTTTAACTGGATCTAGTCTCCCTTTCCCTCCCCCCAGCTGAATTTTGTTCGCTCTCCCGAACTACTAATTTCACTGTTCTCCCCCTTTGGACTCAACTCACTGTTTTTGTTTTTGTTTCCATCTTATGGAAGAGACTCAAATTTCCATTGTTTTAATTAATCTCACCAGCTGTCTGACTGCCTGGCAGGACCTGCTCCCTCCGCTGTCGGCGTAGAAAACGGTTCCTTTCCCCTTTCCTGGCTCTGGCCTCAGCGTGGAGCCCCAGGAGCCCAGCCCTGCCAGAGAGCTCCCGAGCCAGGCGACCCATGCAGGTCCCAAAGTGCCCACCGCTAGGGTACATGCCACCTCTCCCTCCGCCCCCACCGCCCCCGCATGCACATGCACACACGCGTGCACACGCACACACGCGTGCACACGCACACACGCGTGCACACACCCTACACCACACTGCAGGCAGCAATGGGAAGCCACAGGAATCCCAACGGCTGCAGTTTTATTACAAGATTTCTTTTCAAATGCAAAATCAGGCCAACAAGCTTCACAACTCCGATTCTTCGACCACTCTCCCCGCCCTGCTCGTAGCCTGCCCCACACCACCCCAACATACACACACACCTCCCACGCCAGCGACCCCAGCCCCAAACTGCTTCCCACACCCACTTCCACCCTGCCCCGAACTTTTTTTAAAAACCTGTTAAGAACTCCCAAAGCTGAAGTGCACACAGGACCAACCCAGGTGTGCAAGAATCCCACCTCTCAGACCCCAGCAGCCTGTAAAGCTTGACCCCCGTCCTCCTGTGTGTTCTGCTCAGAAAATGTCCCCTAGGTACCCATTCTAGGATTTGGTGTTGTTAGCAGTCAAGTCCTTCCGGAAGTCTGCCCTAAATCTCGTCTCTGCTCTTATTTAAGCCCTGGTAAGCCTTCCTAGGTAGCAGAGTAGTAGCTGTGACCCCCAGCGTGGCCTGCTGCACTGGGCCATGGCCCTTGGACCTCCGGGCGGTCCTGCTTTTCCTGGGCTGAAGACTGTCACGGTGAGGAATACTTGTAAGGTCGCCAAGGAAGAAGGCACAAGCCAGGCAGAGGTAAAAGAATTTATTAGCAAGGGGACCTGCCTGGCCGAGCCTAAAATGGCATCAGCTTCAAGAGGCAGTTGGGTGTCTTTTCTAGAGTTAAGATTGGCATGTGGCCTAGCCTAGGAAGACAGTTACAATGTTCTATTCCAGGCAGAGACCTGGGGAGACAGAAACCTTGGGCTGAGGGAGGGAAGGTTACAATGTGATACTCTGGGTCCAGCCTGCTGGTGGGAACAGAGACCCTGAGGAAGGAAACTTAGATGAGACTGAAAAAGGGCGGGGGGCAGTGCTTTCTAAAAGTCAGGTTCTCAGTTCCAGGGACCTAACAACACGCTGCCTTCTTCCCCACATCTTCTCCACCTGCCCCATCAGACTTTTTTAATTAAAAAAAAAAAAGGTTATTTGGGCTTTTACCCTATCCTTTTTACAAAAACATAATCATTGTAGGCTAGTTACAAAACATGGATTAGCAAAATGAAAAAAGTCTAAATGCCTCATACCCAGAGAGGGTTGATATTATTCACCTGGGTACAAACTCCTCTGGGCCTTTGCCTATTTGTATGTCTCTCTATACATGTATTTGAAATGGGCATGCACTGTTAACCACTGTCCTGTACCTGCTGTTTTGTAACCTCTTGTCATTTAACAGTGTATCTTCATCCAGCGATAGTCATCTCCAAAAGTGGCTCTGGAATACCTGGAGGGTTTGTTGAAACCCAGGTTGCTGGGCTGCACCGTTTCTGAAGTAGTGCAGGGCAGGGCCCCAGAATGCGTATTTCTAACAATCGCCAGGTGATGTGCGAACTGCTGATCTGCAGCATCATTTTTAGGGAAGCAAGGATGTTTCAAGGAGATACAGACCACTACAATTTATTGAACCAAATTTCCTGGGTTTGGATATTGGCGTTGTTTATTTTTTCGCACTAGAAACATTACCATAACGAGGCATGTAACAATCTTTGTGCAGAAACTGTAATTTTCATTTAGATTATATTTTAAAAACAGACCTGTAGAATCAAAAAGTACATCCTATTAAATTGTCCTATAGAGTTGTCCCAGTTTACACTATTGCCTGCCCTGTGGGGAAGAAGCTCCCCACCCCCAGTTATTGTCATTATTTTAAAAGTCTGCCTGAGTTTAAGGGAGGTGGGGGATGTTTTCACCCTTGTGTTAATTTTCATTCTTTAATCATTGTGGGAAAGTGAGGAAAGCACTCAGTCTTTGCAGTAGTCCAGGTAAAAGATGCTGGCTGGAGACCCAAGTCCCAGTGGTGGCAGGAAGACGAGGAGGTGGAAAAGGCCTAGGAAGTTGGAGTGAGGGGACCCAGGGGCCCCCAGCACACGGCACCGCAAAGCCCCTACCCCCGCTATGATCTGAATGTGTCCCACAAACCTTATGTGTTGGAAACTTGATACCCAGTGGCAGGTGCTGGGAGGTGTGCGGGTCCTGGGGGCGCTGCCCTCATGAACGGACTAACGCCGCTATTGCAGGCGGTTCCTTAGAAAAGAACAGGTTCGGCCCCCGCTTGCTCTCTTCTAGCTTTCTTCCCGCCAGGTCATGCCCTCTGCCATGTTATGACACAGCAAGACGGGCCTCACAGATGCCAGCCCCTCAACCTCAGACTTCCCAGCCTCCAGAACTGTGAGAAATAAATTTCTATTGTTTGTAATTACCCAGTCTCGAGTGTTCTGTTGTAGCAGCACAAAATGGACTGAGACACCCCGCGACACACCCGCACATGCACATTATCAGAACACTAATCGTGATTCTAACACTGCATGTTTATTTGGCATAATGCTAGACTGTCAAAGACTCCTCACAGAATTGTCAGAACCACACCTTTGATCCAAGTTGACATCAATAAACTTTCATTTAGAATTTCAAAATATTAGAACTGGAAGAAGCTTTGGCCATTAATCCACTCCCGTAATTTTGTGCCCGACAACTAAGATCCTGAAAGTGTCCCTGACTTCCAATCCAGTGCTCCTCCCGATGAAAGCTTTTTGGCTATTACTCTTTAAAATGTGGCTGTGACTCATTACAGGGGTCTGGGTCTGGGTCAGATCTTGCTAGTTTGGCCTTCAGGCACTTGCAAAATGCCCCGACTTTTCCTGTATGTGTGAGAAGACTAAAGAGTGGCACTTTTCACATCTTCATGGAAACACAGAAACACTGGTGCAATACTCAGAAATTAAGGGAATGGAAGAAAGAAAACCAGATTCTCTTCTGGGAGTGCAGAATTGGAAAAAGAAAGAGCAAAATGAATAACCCTGTTTCTTCCTCCCTCTGCCTAGGTAGTGGTCTTTGGAAGAAGGGACCTGGTGGACGGGGCAGCACCAGTAAGAGGCCAGCAGGCTCACGGCACAGACGTGAGTGTCTGTGAAGCTGAGAAGCTACTTCTTCGTCTCTCCGAGAATGTAAATGGTGGCTTATTTCTGACTTCGTGTCATCTTCGCTGTCACCTCCAATGAGCAGTACTCTAACATGATGAGAATGTTCTGGAATATGCACAAGTGCCGGGAACAGCGTGGCTTTTGGAAAGCTGTCAGCTCGCATGGCACATCTTGGTGTTCAGCTCAGGGCCCTGCCATCCACTCCTTCTAGGTGCTCACAGAGGCAACAGTCCACGAGGGCAGAAGATGTTCTTTCCCTGGTCTCCTCCAAAAGACGGCGCCGAGGAAGTGATTCTACCTCGCTCAATGAATCCTCAAGACAACCCCATGAGGATATGGAGAGACACAGAAACATCTACCAGTGTCCGTATCAGAAGAGCAGGAGTAAGACCATCCCGTGGACTGTATGCTTCCGCATACATGCTATGCCATCATCACTGAGGAAATAACCCCACAAAATGCCAATCTGTTTATGTTCAATGAGAGAGCTTGCTGATCTGCTGTCCTGCTTGCCCCCTGCAAAGAGCTCTGGGTTCTTAGGGAGCCCACTGGGACTCTGGTGCCCCAGGCAGAGGTCTGGGGCAAGAGTTGTGCAGTCCTGATATGCACAGAGCTCTCTGGTAAGACCAGAGAAAGGACACCAGGCAAAGGACAAGGCTTATCACAATCACCTGTGCCATCTTGTTCTTGATGCCCATAAAGAGATGTTCGTAGTTCCAGTCACGCCTGTACACCAGGGTGGGTATTCCCTAAATTGAGAAAGAAAAAAGTTTCTGGAAATTAAATCAACGGTGGAGGTTTCCATTACATGACAAACAAAACACGCTCTTCAGCAGTAACTCCACTGCGGTGCCAGGCTGCTGGTGTGTCACCTGTCGGAGCACACAGCTCTTTACTGCTGCGTGATGTCTACATTTAACCCACAGTCTGTGGGAACAGCAACACAACAAGGAAGCCGGCCTAGCCCCAGGGGCCAAGCAGAAGCTGTCACGTAGAACACTGCAGGCTGCGGACCACAGAGGTGCCGGGGGACGCTGGTGGGTGAGGGTGTCTCACTCTCGTAGTCATTCAACAGCTACTGAGCAGAGACCACGGGCACGTCTGCTGGATGACAGAGATGCGAGAATGAGCCGGCTAACTGCGGGCAGTGAGAGGGAATGACGGATAGACCCAAGTAACACAGACGTGGGTGGACTGGAAGGAACGAGACCAGTCCAGGTAAAGGACAGAGATGGGAGTGCGTCTGCTGTGTTCATGGGAGAGAGCAGAGTCCAGTGTGTGGGGGGACGTNAATGAGTTGTCACTTTTTCCAGCTGTCCAAAAAACCTAAGTGATCATTAGGATGAGAAATATTGAGGGTCAGCTTAGGGTCTATCAACTATTGAGCTACTGAACTGGTGCTAGAGTCCTGAGTTCAAGGCTGCAGGCGCGTACCCACCGCTTCCCCCACTGCAGTGCACAAACACTGCAGAAGCCGTGAAGCTGGCCTTGACGGTGGCCCGGACACATGGTTTTAGGCACTCTAGTAAAAGGATCTGTTTATTTACAGGGCTGTATGAAAAACAAAGCCTCATTGTTCAAAAAAAGCTTGTATTCCATTTCCTGTTTTATACAAGTATTAGCAAAGACTGTGCATTCTCTAGGAAAGGGATCTTTTTTTCTACACTGACAGTCCAGGAGAGTAAAAACTTGTTGAATATACTCTCAAAGAATATACATGTGTATAGGTGTATGCCATGGGGCATAATGGAAAACAGCAAATATGAAATGTATTGGTGAGGAAAACTGGAGTTTGATTATCTATTTAGAAAAACAGTAAAGGTAAATCTCTGCTTCACACTCCACATAAAAATAAATTGGTTAACAAGACAAATGTGCAATACAGAGCTGTAAATGCACAAGAAGAAAATGTGGGAGGAGGATATTTTATAACCTTGGGATAAGGAAGACCCTTATAGGTATGTTTTCCTATAGAGACTTCATAGGAAAATTCTGTCAGATTTGACTTCGTAAAACTAAAGACTGAGATAGAGCATTTGTAACACAGAACAGATAAAAGATTAATCGTTGTTCTATACAAAGAGCTCTTACAAATCATTAAGAAAGGGATAGAGCCCAAAAGAAAAGTAACCAAAAGGAAACCAAAGAGATAACTCAGAGGATGACATACAAATGGCTGATGCCACACTGAGAACAGAGACATACAAGTGACAACAAGGTGCCGTCTCTGGGCTAGTCAACTGGCAAATATATGAAAGATGGATAATATCAGAGCTGGGTACTCTCATGCACTCTTCATACACTGGTGTAGCGTTTTCTATCAAATATAAAATGCACGTCTTTGACATAGTAAACTACTTGTTATAACAAGAATATACGACTTTCGTAATTATTTTGTTAAAAAACCCAATAGAGTTTAAAACCAAAAAAGACAGTCCTCAGGCTTCCTGGTAACGGTAAAACAGCAGGAAGTGGGACCTGCGGTAAGAGAACTGTCTTCGTGCTTGTGGAAGATCACAGGAGAGACAGGACGTTCTGTATGTGCCCAGCACGTGTGCACATCCGTACCTCCACTCAGGGTTGAAACTCCCCTCGGTTTGGGGGTTCCTTAGTTTCAGGATCATCATTTCATGAAGCTCCAGAAGGAAGGCGTCTAAGCCGATCTGATTCAGGCAAGTGCTGAGGAGCTTAGCATTTTCTGCGCTGAGATCCGCTTTGTACCTTGAACTGATTTCCACAAATGGCTCCTAAAATGAATGAGAACACACACACACTAACCCTGCAAAGAGGGGGCGCAGCCCTCAGTGCAGTGAGGGGAAGAGGCCAGACTCACTTTCTTCAGTCGCAGCAGCTGTTCAGACTTGTGAGCAGAGAGAAGTTGCCAGAGGGCGATGGCGTGTTGCAGCTGACACCTGCTGAAGGCCTGAAAGAGGAACAGGATTCCTGAGGCGGCGGCACAGGTCTCACGCCACTGCTACTCTGCCATGTCAATGAATGTGAGTGCCGCCCACACGGGCATTCTTTCTTTTCATTTCTGCTCTGTACTAATTCGATCTTCATTATGAAGCCCCTTTCTGTTCCATCCACTAGTTCACCTCGTCTTAAAATGTCTCCCTGCTGCGGCAGCCCAAAGTCTGTTATCATCACGCACTTTGCAGGTGGCTAATGTCCTCAGTCCTATTTGTGGATCTGCGCTCTGCTTAGGCTGTTCATCAAGTGGTGTCTGTCTTTACTATACATAGTGCATTCTCTTTACACTGTGGACGGAGTCAGTAGGGGTGTTTCTCACCTTCCCCTCCATTTCAAGGGTTCCTAGGCTGATACCCCCGAATGGTGGTATTCCAGCAGGAATGCAGGGAGATGAAGGTGAGGGGCAGTGCTGATGTCCTTTGCAGAGAGCCCTAACATGAGACCCACCTTTAAAACCGTTGTCTGGTCGCCCATTCGCAGGACGTCTTCGATATACTCATTCAAGTACATGTTGGGATCCCCTCCAGCTGTGCTCAGAAACCCCAAAGTGACTTCTATGACAGACAGAGCTTCACAGGCATCACTGTAGGACTGCAGCTGTCCACTGATGGCACTGGTGGCCGAGTTGGGGAGGGACTCCTGGGAAGTCGAGAGAGATATGAACTCAATGAATCCTCAAGACAACCCCATGAGGATATGGAGAGACACAGAAATATCTACCAGTGTCCGTATCAGAAGAGCAGGAATAAGACCATCCCATGGACTGTATGCTTCCGCATACATGCTATGCCATCATCACTGAGGAAATAACCCCACAAGATGCCAATCTGTTTATGTTCAATGAGAGAGCTTGCTGATCTGCTGTCCTGCTTGCCCCCTGCAAAGAGCTCTGGGTTCTTAGGGAGCCCACTGGGACTCTGGTGCTCCCAGCCAGATGTCTGGGGCAAGAGTGGTGCAGTCCTGATATGCACAGAGCTCTCTGATAAGACCAGAAGCACCAGGCAAAGGACAAGGCTTATCACAATCACCTGTGCCATCTTGTTCTTGATGCCCATAAAGAGATGTTCGTAGTTCCAGTCACGTCTGTATACCAGGGTGGGTATTCCCTAAATTGAGAAAGAAAAAAGTTTCTGGAAATTAAATCGACTGTGGAGGTTTCCATTACATGACAAACAAAACACGCTCTTCAGCAGTAACTCCACTGCGGTGCCAGGCTGCTGGTGTATCACCTGTTGGAGCACACAGCTCTTTACAGCTGCGTGATGTCTACATTTAACCCACAGTCTGTGGGAACAGCAACACAACAAGGAAGCCGNTCGGTTTGGGGGTTCCTTAGTTTCAGGATCATCATTTCATGAAGCTCCAGAAGGAAGGCGTTTAAGCCGATCTGATTCAGGCAAGTGCTGAGGAGCTTAGCATTTTCTGTGCTGAGATCCGCTTTGTACCTTGAACTGATTTCCACAAATGGCTCCTAAAATGAATGAGAACAAACACACACTAACCCTGCAAAGAGGGGGCGCAGCCCTCAGTGCAGTCAGGGGAAGAGGCCAGACTCACTTTCTTCAGTCGCAGCAGCTGTTCAGACTTGTGAGCAGAGAGAAGTTGCCAGAGGGCGATGGCGTGTTGCAGCTGACACCTGCTGAAGGCCTGAAAGAGGAACAGGATTCCTGAGGCGGCGGCACAGGTCTCACACCACTGCCACTCTGCCATGTCAATGAATGTGAGTGCCGCCCACACGGGCATTCTTTCTTTTCATTTCTGCTCTGTACTAATTCGATCTTCATTATGAAGCCCCTTTCTGTTCCATCCACTAGTTCACCTCGTCTTAAAATGTCTCCCTGCTGCGGCAGCCCAAAGTCTGTTATCATCACGCAGTTTGCAGGTGGCTAATGTCCTCAGTCCTATTTGTGGGTCTGCGCTCTGCTTAGGCTGTTCATCAAGTGGTGTCTGTCTTTACTATACATAGTGCATTCTCTTTACACTGTGGACGGAGTCAGTAGGGGTGTTTCTCACCTTCCCCTCCATTTCAAGGGTTCCTAGGCTGATACCCCCGCATGGTGGTATTCCAGCAGGAATGCAGGGAGATGAAGGTGAGGGGCAGTGCTGATGTCCTTTGCAGAGAGCCCTAACATGAGACCCACCTTTAAAACCGTTGTCTGGTCGCCCATTCGCAGGACGTCTTCGATATACTCATTCAAGTACATGTTGGGATCCCCTCCAGCTGTGCTCAGAAACCCCAAAGTGACTTCTATGACAGACAGAGCTTCACAGGCATCACTGTAGGACTGCAGCTGTCCACTGATGGCACTGGTGGCCGAGTTGGGGAGGGACTCCTGGGAAGTCGAGAGAGATATGAGCTCAATGAATCCTCAAGACAACCCCATGAGGATATGGAGAGACACAGAAACATCTACCAGTGTCCGTATCAGAAGAGCAGGAGTAAGACCATCCCGTGGACTGTATGCTTCCGCATACATGCTATGCCATCATCACTGAGGAAATAACCCCACAAAATGCCAATCTGTTTATGTTCAATGAGAGAGCTTGCTGATCTGCTGTCCTGCTTGCCCCCTGCAAAGAGCTCTGGGTTCTTAGGGAGCCCACTGGGACTCTGGTGCTCCCAGCCAGATGTCTGGGGCAAGAGTGGTGCAGTCCTGATATGCACAGAGCTCTCTGATAAGACCAGAAGCACCAGGCAAAGGACAAGGCTTATCACAATCACCTGTGCCATCTTGTTCTTGATGCCCATAAAGAGATGTTCGTAGTTCCAGTCACGCCTGTACACCAGGGTGGGTATTCCCTAAATTGAGAAAGAAAAAAGTTTCTGGAAATTAAATCAACGGTGGAGGTTTCCATTACATGACAAACAAAACACGCTCTTCAGCAGTAACTCCACTGCGGTGCCAGGCTGCTGGTGTGTCACCTGTCGGAGCACACAGCTCTTTACAGCTGCGTGATGTCTACATTTAACCCACAGTCTGTGGGAACAGCAACACAACAAGGAAGCCGGCCTAGCCCCAGTGGCCAAGCAGAAGCTGTCACGTAGAACACTGCAGGCTGCGGACCACAGAGGTGCCGGGGGACGCTGGTGGGTGAGGGTGTCTCACTCTCGTAGTCATTCAACAGCTACTGAGCAGAGACCACGGGCACGTCTGCTGGATGACAGGGATGCGAGAATGAGCCGGCTAACTGCGGGCAGTGAGAGGGAATGACGGATAGACCCAAGTAACACAGACGTGGGTGGACTGGAAGGAACGAGACCAGTCCAGGTAAAGGACAGAGATGGGAGTGCGTCTGCTGTGTTCATGGGAGAGAGCAGAGTCCAGTGTGTGGGGGGACGTGAGCTGGGTGGCAGGGCTGGAAGGCTGGACTGCGGTGCAGGGCTTCCTGTGCCAGCTGAAGGAGCGTGGGCGCTGTCCCGTGTGCAGGGGCAGGCCGTGCAGGGCTGTCCAGCAGAGCCAGGGAATCCAGACCTGGGTTCTGGCCGTGCAGATTGGAGAGATGAGGCAGGGGACCGGGCAGGAGCTACTGTAGCAGTCGGACTCAAGGATGGATGCTTTGAACCAAAGCAGCGGCTGGGGTAATTACACAACGAGGACACCAATAAGGTGCACCTGACACACCTGGTGACAGACTACGCGTGGAGGCTGAAGGATAAGGGGAAGTGTAGACTGAGGTTTCCTTGGGTGGTCATGCCTTCAACCATGGTAGAAAAACCCAGATGAGGAGTCCATGAAGACTTCAAGATACTTTTGGGGATCTGAGGTGCAGACGCTGCTGCAGAGGGAGCTCAGGAGAGCTGTGCAGCCAGAGATACAGGTGCGAGACACAGAGACACAGCCACATGTGGACCCAGGAGCTATGGGTGTGACTGATGTGACATGGACGAGGCTGCTGTGCGATTCACCTCATGCCCATCTCAGTGGACACACACTGAGGGCCACTTGTTCACAACAGACATGCTGACCAAATAAGTGGCAGCAGGGCCAGCCTTACCTTGAGGGTCAGCCTGGGCTTGCCCTGGAGGAAGCGGCTGGTGACCTGTCGCTGCATCTTCTCCAGGTCGAACTCCTGCAAGGTCTCTCCACCCTGCTCCATCTGATACTGGCAGTTGGAGACAATCAGTGGGATCAGGTCCCGATCTACTTCGTAACTGATAACATGCAGGTCAGTGACATCAGAGGCATCCACAGCATAGCTGAGGGACATCAGGACAGAGCACTCAGTGTCTGGGTCAGTGTGCAGGCCTGCGATGCCAGGCTATACCGAGCCAGTCCCCATCTGGTGTTCAGACAGTCTGACCGGGTAGAAACCACACACAAGTAAGGGGTGCTTGTGGTGGGGGCCAGAGGGCGTTCAGGGAAGGAGCTCGGGCTTGGCTTGCACCTGCCCCAGTGGCCTAGGGACTCTGGGCCGAGCAGGCGCCGTTCCTGCTGGCTCGCGTACGCACCTGTTCTTTTCCTTGGAGAACTT